ACAGCTGGAGGGTTCAGTGTCCACGTGTCTCTGGAGTATGCTGTCCACTTCTTTCCCCAGGCGGATGCTCCTTCTAGGTCCTGGCTTGGCCCTTGAACGCACAGAGACAGTCCCAAGCCCGCAGGGCTGTTGTCCCGAGGGCTCCTGTTCAAGGCAGCCAGTACCCCCAGGGGTGGTTTAGGCCAGTGCAGCCGAGATCCGAGAAGAGCACACTCAGAGCAAGGCCCCAAGGTGCCCCGTAGAGTAATCTCCAGTTATGAACTACATCTGAAATGATCTAAGATGACACTTTTCTCTGATGCCATAGATAAAAATCTTTAAATAAGAGTTTCAGACGACTGTGGAACGTACATTGCAGTTCCTGCTTCTTACACTTGCCGTTTCCTTTCTCTCTCTCTTTTTTTTTATTGGCACCTGAGCTAACAACTGTTGCCAATCTTTTTTGTTTTTCTGCTTTTTCTCCCCAAATCCCCCGGGTACCTAGTTGTATATTTTTAGTTGTGGGTCCTTCTAGTTGTGGCATGTGGGATGCCACCTCAGCATGGCCTGATGAGCGGTGCCATGTCCACACCCAGGATCCGAACCAGTGAAACCCGGGGCCCCCGCAGCAGAGCATGCGAACTTAACCACTCGGCCACGGGGCCACCCCTTTCGCTTTTAACACACACATTAAATCTCACCTCCTCAAAAGGCCAAGAACAAGAGGCTGCTTGGGAGATGGATTTACATGCCATTTTGAATGGAAGGGTGGGTTGACTGTTTTGGTGCTTGAATGGGAACCCTCCTTTCTTCAACACTGGTCACGTCCCAGCCAGCCAGTCCCCCGATTTGTTCCTCCCACTGCTCCTTACTGAAATGGACAAAGAACTCCGTTATACTCTAACAGGCACTTAGTGACGTGCGAGTTGTGGGGAGAGCAAGGCGGGCGGTAGAGAGAGGAAGAGGCCTGTCGCTCTGGGAGCTGATACAACTGGCCTGTCATTTTCTGACAGTGCTGGGTCCAAGGCTCTGATGAGGCTGAGGGGCAGATGCTGGGGACCCACATGGGGGCTGCAGCTGGGGCTCCCGTGGGAGAACTCACTTCTGCCTGATTTACATTGGGGGCTTCAAAGACTGTTTGAGCAGGAGGCAGCGGGATTCTGTTGGTTAAAAAATCATAAAGACGACCACTAACCTGGATGATATGAATTCTAGAGCTCTGCACACATTCCCTAGAAGACACAGGACAAGCACACAGACGGGAGCAGCTGAGAGCCATTTGGCTCAGGCACGGCTCTTAGTCCGTCCACGGACATGCTCGTCCACCCTCCTAAGAGCAGCTCCAGGAAGCCCAGCTCCCGGCCCTGTTCTCCACTGAGTGGCAGGCCAGTGCCTCAAGGTCACCTCTTTAGAAGAGTGGTGGAGCCAAGACCCACAGAGAGCAGCTGGGCTCCCAGGTCCTCACCCCTGTCCACTGCAGTGAGCCAGCCTGTATCCTAATGAAATGCTTGGTATTTTCTCACATGGGAGGAGAGGAATGAATAATTCTCGCTCTCTGGGTTTATATTGACATGCAATTCTCATAAACGTCAACCTTGGAAATATCGGGTGGTACTGATCAAACTGCTTTCAGATCAGACTGCTTTCGCATTTCTTATTAAGCCTTATTTATCCTCGTCCCCTCAAAAAATATAGCAACACACAATTTGAAGAGAGCTAATAAAACATCCACGTTTTGAGAAGAAAAAAATCACACAAACAAATGAATAATTCAATTTAATTCAGTAGTGGTTTTGGTTTGATATTGTGCTAAGAGTTTTGGGGAGGAGGGGGGGTAACCACAATATTTTTCTAAACAATGAAGTGATCTATATTCTGTCATGAGCATCTCCTAAGACCATTTATTTCCTATCACTTCATGTGTGGATGAGCTGGATGCAAAGACATGGTGCCAACCAGTGAAGGGGGTCCTGAGTGGAGCCAGTCCACAGCCAAGACCATCTGGATGTATACGTGAGGAAAAAACTGCAAACAGCAACTGCCAATTAACCACCCCAGCCCAAACCAAGCTGCCCATGATCCTTCAGCTGCATTGCTGCGACACCCCCCAGAATGGTTGCCCTACTTCATCCCTTGCCTCCCTACAATCCATTCTCCACTCACAGCCAGAGCGATCTTGATAAAACACAATCAGATCACGTAACTCCACTCACTGCTTGGAACGCTCCACAGCCTTCCAGATCAGGACAGACTTGGCCTATGAGGCCAACAAGGTCGGGCCCCCAGTGCTTTCTACGCTCTCCCATAGCAACCCTTGGCTGCATGGGTGTCATCTGCTATCCACATTGGCCTTCTTTCTGCTACAACCTAAATTTCATATAATTCAACTGAAATTCAAATGGAAGGCAATATGAAGAACAAAACAACAAAAGGTAAACCCGTGTGTGAGATTCTTAGAGGAAATTCTTAAGATACCTCGAAGGCAAGTTTAGATTTCATTATAATGAGCAATCTCATGTAGAATTTTAAATTTAGAGGAAATTCTTAAGATACCTCGAAGGCAAGTTTAGATTTCATTATAATGAGCAATCTCAAGTAGAATTTTAAATTAACATTCTCCAACTTTTTCCTATTTAAAGAACTCTGAAGTTAACTTTTAATGATAGGATATATCTGGTTCAAAAATTATTTTTTATCTATAGGAAAATAAACTTAAGACCCTCAAGGAACTGGATTATGACACTGAAAACCTTCCTCAAAGATTTAATCTCAAAAAAGTACTAGATTTAGTAAATTAGTGTTATCTTTACTATTAAAATACTTAATTGAGCTCTACTTTTATGATTTTTACAGTATATATTTTCTTTAAATAAAAGCTAATTTTCTCCAAATGTACCAAGTGTTATTAGTATATAAGTCAGAGATTTGACCTAATATCATTCTTAGCGAGGATCCTCAAAATGCAAATCCAAGACCTATTCAATCTAATAATATAAGTGGCATGAATATTTCAGAGCACTATGGAACAAATGTTACCGAAAATTTTGTGCATATTAAAATAAAAAATTGCATTTTCAGAAAGTTATATATTTAGATATTAATTTCCTAATTTATGTAAATGTAGGTCTATTACAAACATAGTCTCATTTGACACGGACAGAGACACATATGACAACAGAATGTTAGGCTTAAAAACTACCGGAAAAAAAGGTATTACCTCTGAAAGAGCATTATAATTGCATTTGCATCTGCTGGTTCCCAATTCTCTTCCATTTTATTGATAATTAATTAGGGCTTCTGGTAATCACTTTTAAGTAGCCTAAACAGATCTATATGAAAACATATGTGCTCAAAGGAAGTGGTCTCTTGAGTTTTATTTTTTTATTAAAAATATTCATGATTTAGCACAAAAAACACTTCCAACAAGTTAGGTGCTTTGGATTCCTTAGTAATCCATGTGGAGTTACTGACTGCTCCCGAATTTCGGATAGAATATGGGACCCCTTGTTATGTGTGAGTTTGTCGAGAAGAGAAGAGAGAAGACGTGACTGATTAACACATCTTCATTCTAATTCTCCTTATATGCTAAGAATAATCAGAACCATATATGAGATGTTTTATGATTCCTTTTAGGCAAACATAAGAGGACAAATTCAAGAATTCAAATATACGCCTATGAATGACTAAATCTGAAACTGAATGGAAGGCCACTCCTGATTTCAGCTAGGACCTTGTAGTCTGGGACGACTTCTCCACTACGTGAAACATCATGGAGCACCCGGAGGGCATCCTATAGCTCTAGTGGGCTGAATCACTGCCTTGGCCCTACCCCCACATCATCTCCCTTACCCTCCTCCAAGCCAGCCAGTTAAAGACACAGTGTAGTAAAAAAGTGTGCCCACCGCCCCTAGCCCCTTTTTCTAGCCAGTCTGCCATTCCTAACTCCTTTTTAGAAATTCTAGAGATCTCACTGGCTGCATGGGAATGCTTATCAGAAGCAAAAATCACATGAAAGGATGCAAATAAGAGCTTTTTGGAAAAGGAATTCTTATCAGCCATCCGGATACAGGCCTATAGAACAACCGCGTGCTGCTGAAGAGAGGGGTGGGGAGGGAGGCGCACACTGCCCCAACTTCAGTCAGGGCAGCATCTACGTATTTCACACGCTCGTTCTCATCCCTTTCCCTTCGAAGAAAGGATTCTGAGAATGAAAAATGTCTCAAGACCACCATGCCAGGCTTTGAAATACTGTTGTTGACGGGTACACACACACCACACACACACACACACAAGTAGGCTCTTTTTGCACAACTGTAAGAATGATTTTCTGAGAAATTTAACAAATACATTTTTCTTTTAAACATGCTTAATTAAATTACCAAATAACAATATTTAAAAGAAATGTATATCCACCAAACAAGAGAAAACTAATATTCATATCATCCTTAAGCAATACTGCCATCCAAGTGATCAGGAAAACAGCCCTAAATCCTGCAGACGTAAAGCAAACTACATTTTCCCGTGATAGTAAATATGGAGAAATAACACACAGTATATGTGTTATCATTTACAGCACGCATTCTCTTCTCTTCTGATCTGAAGGATGCGCATCTTAAAAATAAACTGAATTCTATTCTTTCTATTATTCCCATGGAGGCAATCACATACCATAAAGGATTTCTTTCTACTCACGTAATTTCTACTCTTTTGTTATCTGGGAAACTGCTTGTTAATTTAGAAACACATATAGCCAAGTGTACTATCAATATGTCTTAAAGGTATTCTGTCTTCCTGATTATCAACCTCACCAATATATTCATAAAAGCATTTCTCACAATTCTATTGTCTAATATTTTTAACAAATGTTAATATTTTGGTGTGGAGGAAAGCATTTCTCTTAAGCAGAGCTCGATTTTGAAGTTAATAATGAGTTAACATTAACATTGAGTCTCAGTAAGCCATCTCATTAAAAATGGCTCCATCTTGCAGCACTTAGACTATTTCAATAAGCATTTACTTACCTGGGAATATTCAAAGTCAGTAATAGGGGCTATACTCTTGATATAGTCTGATCGAAATTGGTTTTCGGGGTTAGCCAGAGGAACTGGAGGTATTATAGTACTCATCGCCGAAACAATTGTCTAAAACGGAATGAAGACAAAAAATATATATATATGGATAAACATCACATTTAGGCTCCATGTATGATAATCTAAAATATATAATTTCTGTGTACATAGTTTCAGAGAGCAGAGTACTTAACCTTTCTAGTCAACAAATATTTAAAAAATAGTTCTTACCACAATAGCATCTTTAACATTTTTCCGGATGTCCAGAATTTTTTGTTTCTTTTCCCTGTATTAAAAGAGAATTGTTACTTAGTTTACCTTTAGCGCTTACTTGAATCAATCGAGTGGGATTTTAAATTTCCAGCTCAGCATGGGGCTAGACTAAGGTTCTACAAGAGGTCAAGGTCAACATCAACCCCAGGACACAGCTGCAAAGCTTTTATCTGGAAAAGGAAACATCCCCCTTTTCTAGTTTGTACTCTAAACAAACCTGAATGCACACATTATAATCTATATAGCTTTAAATAACCACACAGGGTATACAAAACATGGCAAAATCATCATGAATATTGCATATAAAAACTAAACAGCTACACTTGTAAATATATTTTATTTGACTCTAACCATATGTTGATACTTATGAATTGAAATCCATGCAGACAAATGATATAGAGAAAAGTATACATTGACATATTGGTTAAGTGTGCTCAGAGCAATACCAATAATACAGATCAATACTTCAAGAATACGTAATAAGTCATATTTTGCTACGCAAGTTATTTTATTTTTTGATCTAGACTCTACCAGAAAAAGGATTTGCGTAAATATATCAAATTCGACAACACACTTCCATATTTCTCTCCCTAAAAGGTGTACTCAGTGATCAAATTAACTGTTTAGAGAAAGCACTTCTGGGAAGGCTGGGAGAGAAGTGGCAAAGTTTGCATGCAGTTTGGTCAAAACCGAAACGGATCATTCCTTACTCGGGATTAAATCCATTGACGTGCAGGATCCTCATTTGTTTGACAATAGTGCTTTTCCCAGATTCACCAGCCCCTACAAATAAACAGAAAGAATGCTGTGATCTGTAGCCCCGATACCGTTGCCATCTCTCACGCCAACCCAGACTGAGCAATTATCCTACCCCAACGCAGGCATATTCAACACTCGTCACCTCTCGGCTGGAGGAGCTGGCCCTAGTCGCTGGCGGCTGCTCAGTGGCCGGCGGTGCGCTCCTGGCGTGCGCTCCGCTCGGGCCGGGAGCCGCCGCGCGCCCTCCGGCCTTACCCAGTAGCAGCAGGCGGTGAGTCGCTTTGTAAGCCAGGCGCTCCTTCTGCAACTGCTTCTCGATCTTCTTGTTGGCCTCGCGTCGTTCTTTTTCATCGACGCCCTGGTCTTCTGTCGTCTTGCTGTTGCCCAAACACCCCATGCCTGCCCGCTTGGATGGAGGTCAGGCACACTTAGGAATTTGCACAAAAAGCAATGGAGAGTTGTAGATGTGTGTGGTTCCCGCGACGGCTCCTCTTCCTCGCTGCTGAAAGAGATGGTCTGGTCTCTCGGTGTTTTCCGATCCGAACAGGCTTTTCTTCTCCCTCCCCCTGCCCACCGCAAACTCCTAACTAAAAAGGATGCAAGGAAGACGCGCAGAGTCAAGTGCGTTTTAAAGATAATTGTTTAGAATTATCTTCTGGATAAATAGCGTACAACGAACGGAGACAGGAGCCCAGAGCGCCGGGCTCTGCTGGAGCGAGCCCTGGTGGCGCTGCGCCCTGACTCGCCCCGCGTCCCGCCGCTCGCACCCAGCGCCGCGCTCAGCCCCGCCCCCAGCTGCGTGGGCTGGAAGCGCCCCTCGGGGACCCAGAGGTGGCGGCGCTCTTGGCCAGGTGCCGGGACCCCCCCAGGTGGTGGGCGAGCGCGGCGCGGAGAGATGGAGGGCGCCGCTGGGTCCCCGCAGGGCGACTGTGGGCCCCTGCCGGCCAGCCTGCGCCCTGCTCTGCCCCTGCCGTCGGACGCGCGCCCCTCTCGGGTCCAGGGACCCTGGGACCTCCGCACCGTGGGGAAGGGGAGCTGGCCGGCTGGGGGGTTGGGGGGCGGGCCGCTTGTCCCGGGGTTTCGGAGGGCCCTGGCGCTAACGGTACTAGAGGGGTCGGAAGCTGACCTCTAGGAGCCCGGCCCTCGGGAGGCTCACCCGCGAGCGGTCCGGACTGCGGCCGCGTGCCTCTCTCGCACCCCGAGCCCGGGAGAGTGGGTCTGGGCGTGCGCTCCCCGCCGATCCCTCGGATGCCTCCCTGCTCCCCGGCAGGCGAGGACTCGCGCAGGATCATGCATATTCTATCAGGGAGGAGGATCTGTGAGAGGCTCACCAGTCATACTGCCTTTGTTCCGTTCATTTTCTAGACTATTCCAGCGCACCCACGCCACCGCCTCCCTTAGGCTCCTGTCTTTACCTCCAGCCCCCGTTTCTCCTTTGCAGTTCTCTGAACAGCTCTACTACTTTTCTACAAGACACTGTGGCCTCGAACTTGGCATTGTGGCCGAGGAACAAATGAGGGCAGACTGGGCTGTGCTCTCATTTATTGGGACTGGGGGTGAGCTGGAGCCGTCTGTGACTGCTGCAGCCACGACAGAGGCCGCCAGCCGCGTTGCATTCGCACTGCTGGACTTGGGGGAAGGAGGGCAAAAGAGGCGACCGAAAGGAGTCGTGGATGCCAGCACTTGCGCGTGCGTTGCCCTTACAAGTGTGCGATGGTCTCCAGGCTCGGGGTGCCCTCAGCGCTGCACACCGATTCTTTACACGCCTTTGCTCAGCTCTGTCTGCCAGTGCTCCACTTTCCTCCAGACCCACAACGTTTCCCTCACTTTCAGCATGGCCTGGGCTTCTTCACAGAGAGCAAACGCCACCTGGCCGGGGCTCCCCACTCTGCTGTCCCTGTCCTACCCTTCTCAGGGACACCGTCTCCCTCACCCGGTTAGCCGTCTCCTCTGGCCCTCCCCTCTTTCTTCAGCCTCCCCTTTTCTACTAGCTTGTTCCCTCAAGCAGACAAACATTCCACTCTGTCCTGTTGAAAACCAACAGCACCTCCTTCAACAGCACTGTCTCAGGCCTCTCCTTATTTCCACAAGTTTTCCTCCTGCCCACTGCAGCCAAGGGTTAAAAAGGGAATCTGACTCTGGCCTGTCCTTCCTTACCTCCTGTCCACCCCTCAGCACCTGCTGCCCTGGCTTTGGCCCATCCCTCTACACTATTCTCTCCAGGGTCATCAGTGGCTTCCCAGGGGCTACACCTCCTCCGTGAACTTTGGTCTTTACCTTCTTTGACCTCTCTGTGGAGCTGGCTCTGACCCTCCTTGAGATGCTCTTGTCCTTTGGCTTCCTCCACATGGCCGTTTTGATTTCCTGGCTAGTGGAGGTGTCTCAGTCCCAGCGCAGCCTGTCTCCCCGCATGCCCGTTCCTGGCGGGGCTGACTGCATCCTCCATTCACTGTACACAGCTCTGACTGTATCCACGTCACATCTCCAGCCCAGCTCGCCCTCCTGTCCACTGCTGTCCCCAGCACACCTCCACCTCCACACCTCACAGAGAGCTCCAGTTCAACCTGCCACGGACTGAGCTCATCCCCCGGGCCCACCTCCACACCTGCAACCTGCTCTTCTCCCTGTTTCTGTGCATAGGCCCTCAATTCTCCAAATCAGAGCATGGGAGTCATTCCTGGCTCCTGTTCCTTCTTGCAAACCTAAGCAGTTACTCTGGTCCTTTGGGTCTGTTTCCTAAATATCTGCCCTGTTCTTTGCACTCCATCTGCCATTACCATGGTCTTAGATCCCTAATCTAATCTGGATTGTGGCTGTGGCCTCCGGCTTACTTGCTCCAGTGCACCCTGCACAATTTTGCCACAGTGACAATACAAATCTGACTGTGTCACTGTCCCCACTACCTACAAGCGCTCGGCCACAGTCCTTCAAGACTGGGTGGATGTAAACTCTGAGGCTTCAGCTCACAGGTCTCTCCACTTCCCAGCTCTCCCCACCCCGACCCGTCCTTTCGACTGCTTGTACTTCCTGAACACTCTGGCTCATCCTTGCTGCACGTGCAGCTCCTCTCTCTGGGATTCCTGTGGCCCCTTCTTCACTTGGCCAACTCCTGGTTATCCTTCTAGCCTCGCCACTCCCTCCACAGTCACAGGCAGGCACCCCTTCTCCGTGTCCCATCATCTGTCACCTTGCATTGTAACGGTTTGTTTACTGCTCTTTCAAAACTCCACTGACTGTAGAGTCCCTGAGGCCGGGGCTGAGTCTGTCCTTCGCAGCTGCCGCAGCTGCCACACCTGCACCTGCTCAGTGTCTGGCCCGGAGGAGATGCCCCTTGAACCTCTGTCAAATGGATGAATGAAATCACAAAAGCCAAAGAAAATTCCTGCTCAAAGTGTGGGTTCTCATGAAGGGAGTTTCTCAAACAAATTCTGAATTCATAAAACACTTGTCCAGTTTAGTACTATATTGAACATAAGAATACTCTTTAAAAACAAAAGCAGTAAATTACTCTTCTTGACACAGGCAAACATACGGTGCCATGCTATGTTCTCAGCTGGGTTAAGAGTCCTAGTGTGTGGAAGGACACTATTTAGCACAGTTGTCAGGCCTCACACCTTGTGAGCACCAACTCTTATATTCACACGTGGCAATGTCAGCTCAGCCCATCCTGTGGCTAATCAGGCAGTCAGAGGCGAGAAAAGGTATATGAAGATAGCATAGTGCAGTGGGATGTTTACAAGGATTTGTCATTTTTTTTAATACCAAGATTTCCATAAATGGTTAATTAGAAGAGAAGGGGACAAAACAAATCCCATGAAAACTTATGAAGGAAGAATTAAGTTAGAACCCAGGAGCTACACTTTAAGGCAGCCTGACAGTCAGTTACCCTAAAAACATAGCAAAAGGTTTCCACTTATTCAGATCTAGAAGTTAGGGTTAAAGATAACGTTTTATATGTGGGATTTGATAAGGATTAGATAAACTGATATGATGAAAACACATACCATCATATACCCAGGATGTTAATATATCAATAATACTAACATATATGCACTGTAAAATTGCTTCTACTAGTTTTTCAGTGAGCGCTGGCACTGGGCTAAATCCTTTCCATGGAATAGTTTATTTAGTATTTGCAATAATCCTAAAAGAAACTATTGTCACCATTATTTTACAGAAGCTTAGAGGGGTGAAGAAGAGGTCTATCTGAGATAGAAACCCTCGCAGCCTGGCTTCACTGGCTGCTCCAAACAACCTAAAGTGTGTCCCACAGTACACTGCTAAACACCCTAACATAAAAGCGATGTCCTTATACAGTGATGCCACATTTCTTAGGAGAAATGCGAAGCCAATCTTTACATAGCCTATTATCAAAAGGAGCTCAAGACATTTTTTTTTAAACCCAGTCACCTGGCCTTGTCCTAGTCTGGTTTGGGAAACCGATCCTTGTTCGTGTTTCGAACCAGAGGATCAGAATCCAGAATCCCAACTGGCTCACCTGGAGCAGCAGGAGCGGAGCCGATGGCAGTGGAGGCATCTGTTGCCAGGCAACGGCAGTACAGCAGCAGCGCCCTGCCCCAGACCAGCAGCGCATTCCCACCTGCAGAGCCCAAGGGCTGTCCTGCAGCCGGGTGTCAGCAGAGGAGGTGGAGGCAGCGGGTCAGGGAAGGTGGGCCAGGGAAGGCCCTGCTCACGTCAAGGAGAATTGGGAAGACACAAAGTTTGGGGCAAAAAGGCAAAGGTAAAACAAAATGGTGTTTTCCTCACTCTTGTTGATGTTTAAGACAGATAGGGTGTTTCGGAAGTCTTAATGCATTGGAAAGTTTAATTATTGAAATTTCTTTTATACTTAGTTTTGTGGATTTTGAATAATGATTTTAAAATTTGTTTTTGCTTCAGTCTCTCTGATTGCAGTTGGCAAATATTGAAAAAAACTGCACCTGTTCTCTGGTTAGCTGAATTCAAGTCCATGTTAGCAATAAGGAGGAAATTCGTTTCTCGTTGTAAGGAGGCTCCCCACAGAA